AAACAATATGCGTCGGAATTTGTGAGTTTCAGATGTTTGTATGTAATGTTATTGAATTTACAATTTTATTTTTTGTGTGATGCAAAACATTTGACTGTACGTACATCTATTTATCATAACAGCTTATTTAATTTTTTTTCTGAATTTTTTGCATGTGAAGTCATTTTGCCCGACACAAAAATCCCTAGCATAGATAATATACCGATTTTATTATTTTACATCCACCTCAACTTCAAACTGGCAGGATTCAGTCAGCTCAAAAATGTGAGTGGCGAGTAGGATGCATATTATATTAATACGACGTTATACGTACTTTGTAACCTGATAAGGCATGATTTCTTAACATTATAAAAGGAAATGATTATCTATATGTCCATTAAATTGACAAAATGGGTAAACCAAATCGTTTTATTGTTCTCTTGAATTCTCTTGTAGTTTTCTTTCGTATTTCTCTTCGTGTTTCCTTTTGCGTTAATTTTTTTTTGCTCGCACCCGTTTGGATTACAATTACTGGGTACAATTTTTAATGAATAACTTTTAATTAGTAAAAACATTTATACTGATATCATTATTTCAATAATTAGATTTTACATTATATTCAAAATTTTGGAAATTTGTCTTCGAAAATTCTTAAAAGCTATGAGTAAAAAATCTGAGGAAGGTTAGAAAAGACAGATGTACAGAATTTATATTTATTGTTTTTCTTTACAAATAGTATTTAACACATTAAATATTATTTTAGAATATTTGCCAACGGTATCAACCGCTCTGAAAGCAATTTATCCAAAATTGTCTAATAATGTAATTACGAGTTATGAAGAATTACTCAATAATGTAGATAAACACGATCCCATCCTTATTATAACACCAAACAGTGCGTGGATCAACCAATATAGTTGGCCTGCATATAATGTAGTAATGGATACATTTGCTACTTATGGTCTTGCGCAAAATCAACGCAGGGACAAAAATTCGCGTTGCATATTTCACTTTCGAGAGATTTATGATCTGTATCAAGTCCGCGACGGAATTAAAAGTAACAACTTGGCACCAAACATATTTAACATACAACCTAGTCTTCGTGTATATTTTCAACACAATCCGAACGTTCAACTTGAGCCAATTGGCTCAGCTTGGATCTTAATGAAGATTGGAGCTTTTTCCAGTGATTATGGGCAAGATATAAATTTTTTTGTCGTATAAGAATGAGAAACTCTGCAGAATCATTAGCGTTAGAATATGATTATTTTCACAATCAATCTACTATTACCCTTTCTATTTTTAGGTTCTTTCAGTGGTATGGTACAGTAAGAGTTCTATCTTTCTAAAATAGGATATTTCATTTTTTTTAGATTTCACTTTATTAGTGATTATCGTTATTGTGTTTTATTTAAAATTTTAAAATGATGGTAAAATATTAATGTCAATTGTATGAAATAATATTATCGAATTTATACACATATTGTCATTTAATATGTCATTTGCATGAAAAAATGAGACAGAATGCCTTCTTTTTAATACTAATTTATTTTTATTTTATTTTTTAAGTTATGAATAAAAAATAAGATGAATAAGATGGTTCTTTTATATTTGATGACTATGGCATTATAGATGAAAGTTATTGCATCATTTCAGTTGATGCAATACTTTTGAGCTTCACTGTCTTTAAAGTCACACTTTTTCTGGTCCCAAGGGTGTAACATCGATAATTTATGACTTCTATATAATAAAGGCGTAATATCGATATGTCATTTTTCATGTGAAATTCTTATGCAAGTTAACATGAAGTTCTATCACTATGATAAGAATGGTAATTTGCTTCGTCCAATTTCACGGGCGGATTCTCTATTTATATTATTACCGTTTATTTTGCCTATGTGCAGGGTGAAAGTCACAATGCACAAGTTTCTTTTCGTGAATCATTCTCAAACAAGCGATAATATAAAGTAGATATTCGAATTATTGAGCCCAAGTCAATTTTTCGTAGTCGGGATTGATATATTCTCCAACTTTTACATACTGTGACGAGTATTTGTTAT